GCGCCAATGCTGCTGCGGTCCATGCTGTTCACCGTGCTGGGGAAAGGAGATAGCAGGGAGCAGGGATGCAGCACCTCCCCCACCCCCACCCAGGGCAGCTGGCACCAAAGGCAGGGAGGTGTGTGGCGGCCTGGAGCTCTTAAGGATCCTGTCCCCATATGTCCTGTGGAGCATCCAGATCACCCTGACTTGGGCAACAACAGGATATCTGAGACAATTCTCAGTGATAATCCAGTATTTATGGTCCTTCAGAAAGCAGAAAACTTGAACCAGACCAGTGACCCACTGCAATAAGTATTTGCATGTAAAGCTGTTTGGACAAATTACATATACATACATACACATATACTACATACATACATACATACATACATACATACATACGAATATATACATACATAGTTTGCAATGCCACTTTAATGAACGAATTGTGGTGGAGAGGTGGGAAGATGGCCGGCTGGATAGGCGTGTGTGCAGCAAAGAGGAGGAACTGTGTTTAGACAGAGGAGGTCTGTGTTCCCCGTTGCTGCTGGAGGCCCAGTGGATGTCCATGATCTGTGTGACCACCAAGGGACATGTTGATGGACAAGGCCTGTGCACTAGACTTTCTTTTGGGCTACCAACCAGCTCCCAACTCAAGACACAGAAACTTATTAGTTGTGAATGCTTGGCCCTAGCTTATGCTAATTTCTAGCTAGCTTTTTTCTTTCACTTAAATTAACCTATTTCTCTTCATCTACATTTTGCCTAGGGACTTTTTACCTTCTTTCTGGATGTCTTACTTCCCTGCTGCCTCTATGTCTGGCTGGCTGGTGACTGCCTGGCTTCTGGCCCAGGATGTGCCTCTCTTTCTCTTCTCTCTGGAGCCTAGACTCCTCCTCCTACTTAGTCTCTCAGTCTGCCAGCCCTGCCTATCCCTCTCCTGCCTAGCTACTGGCCAGTCAGCTTTTTGTTGAACCAATCACGTGCTTTAGGCAGGCAAGGTGAAACAACAACACATCTTTTCATAATTAAACAAATTTATCATAAACAAATATAACACATATTTTGCCAGTTAAATAGTCCACTGTTGGGGAAGTCCTGTGCATTTGTCAATAAAGCACTGTCTGGCCAATAGGGAATCTAGATAGGAGGGACTAGGAGTCCAGAAGGACTCTGGATAGGAGAAACACAAAGAGATTCAAGATGTAACGCCATGGGGTAGGAGCCCGGAACTATTCTCCGGTAAGAGACATACTTAGATTAACAATTATGGGGTAATTACTTAAGTCAGAGCTAGCCAGTAAGAAACAAGCAAGGCCAACAGCTTCATAATTAATACAGCCTCCTGTGTGTTTATTTGGGACTGATGCAGCTCTGGAACCAGGCTGGCGGGAAGGCTTCTCTCAAGGAAAAAGCTTCTCTTTACAGTCCACGACAGGCCTGTGCTGTTGCCAAAGACGATGTTGATGTCTATAGTTCGTGCTGTCACCAGAAACCATGCGGACGTCCGCAGTCCATGCTACTGCTGACTATAAAGGGCAAAAGCTTCTTTTGCAGTGTAATGATTGCAGATTCACAGTTGGGAATGAGAGACTAAAGGCCTCTGGGACAACAGCCACCTCCAAAGAGAGAGAGAGAGAGAGAGAGAGAGAGAGAGAGAGAGAGAGAGAGAGAGAGAGAGAGAGAGAGAGAGAGAGAGAGAGAGAGAGAGAGAGAGAGAGAGAGAGAGAGAGAGAGAGAGAGAGAGAGAGAGAGAGAGAGAGAGAGAGAGAGAGAGAGAGAGAGAGAGAGAGAGAGAGAGAGAGAGAGAGAGAGAGAGAGAGAGAGAGAGAGAGAGAGAGAGAGAGAGAGAGAGAGAGAGAGAGAGAGAGAGAGAGAGAGAGAGAGAGAGAGAGAGAGAGAGAGAGAGAGAGAGAGAGAGAGAGAGAGAGAGAGAGAGAGAGAGAGAGAGAGAGAGAGAGAGAGAGAGAGAGAGAGAGAGAGAGAGAGAGAGAGAGAGAGAGAGAGAGAGAGAGAGAGAGAGAGAGTTTAGACAGGAAGCCATTGGAGAGAGCCATTAAAACTTGATAGGGATGCTGAAGTGTAGCTCTTCACAGCTGATGGATTCTGATGGGATGGGGAGGGTGGGGAGGGTGGGGAGGGTGGGGAGGGTGGGGAGGCCTTTAAGGGACTGGCCACTGGGAGTTTGGCCATGCTCCGGTGAGTATATTGTAACACAAATTGGACTTGGTGTATTTTTTTTTTTGCTCTTTTCTTTGTCTTCTTCTTTTTTTTTTTTTTTTTGAGAGGCGGGTGCACAAGTTGAGGGTAAACCTGGGAAGATGGGGAAGTGAGTGGTGATCAGGGTACATTGTGTGAAATTCCCAAATGACAAAAATAAAAATATTATGTTGGAAAAAGTCACTTAGTCTCAAAACTTTGACTAGTTACGAGTCTTTGTGCTCACTGCAAAAAGGCTTCTCTAGCCAAGTGAGAGCACCACTAACCTATGTGAAGCCCTCTTTTTAAAACTCAGCTATCAATGGGCATAGTGGCGCACGCCTTTAACCCCAGCACTCAGGAGGCAGAGGCAGGTGGATCTCTGTGAGTTTGAGGCCAGCCTGGTCTACAGAGCGAGCTCCAGTATAGCCAGGGCTACAGAGATACCCTGTCTCATAAAAGACAAAAAACAAAAAACACTTTGCTTCCTTTTTTTAAATTTTATGTGTATGTTTGTGTGAATGTCTGTATGCCACTTACATGCATGCAGCCTAGAAGAGAACATTGGAGTCCCTGTAGCTGGAGTTACAGATGGTTGTGAGCAACCATGGGGGTACTGGGAATTGAGCCCTGGTCCTCTGGAAAGGCAGCCAGTGCTCTTAACCTCTGATCCATCTCTCCGTTCTCAGGCAACCCCCTTTGTGGAGTCAGGGTCTTCCTATATAAGCCAGGCTTGCTTCAGACCCAAGCTCCTCCTGCCTCAGTCTCATGCTAAGGGTAGAGGCATGCAGTGAAAGCAAACAGTTGCCTAGGGCCTCAGCCCAAGGCTGTGGGCCAAGAGCTGTGTTTCCTCCCCAAGGGGCTGCTCTAGGACACACACAGCTATAGCAGCTGTGTTCCAAAGCTTGTTTGTTTTTAACCACACAGCAAAGTGCACTGCAACACGTCTGAGGACAGAAAGTAGTCTGGGAAGTCAGTCCTCTTGGTAAAGCTATTGCAGCACTTATTAGAGCTGATGGAGTAGAGACCCTGCATTCCCTCTTCTCTTACCTCCTTTATTTATATTTACATTATTGTTGTGGTGAGATAGGGCCTTGGTATTTTCCCAGGCTTACCTGAAACTTGCTGTGTAGCCCAGGCCTGTCCTCTGCCTTCTAAATGCTGGAATTTCAGGTGTGTGTTTATAGGCCAGCTCCATGTGTTTATCTATTTGGATTTAGTTCTGGGGATTGAACTCAGAGACTCATACTTGCTAGGAATAGCCACACCTGAGCCCCTCACTGGGAGATTCTAGGCAGTGGCTCTACCACTGAGCCACACCCCCAGCTCCTCAATAGGGGATTCTAGACAGGGGTTCGACCTCTGAGCCATACTCTTGGGGTTCTCTGGAGGATTCTAGAAGCTCTACCACTGAGCTATACTCACAGCCTTTCAAGCAGTGCATGCTAGACCAGCACTGTGCCACCCCGCCATACCCCAGCCCTCTCTTTGAGTGTTTCACCAAAATGCCCATCATGTCCTTGAACTCACTGTGAATTTTGAACTTCAAACAGGATGTCATCTTGTCTCAGACTCTCAAGTGCTGGACGGAGTGACAGCTCCCCATGGAGTTTTCAAAGGTCAAGTGAAAAGCACACAGCTAAAGCTTAAAAGCTAGCATCCACACATGATGAAAAGCATGCAATGTTTGTCTTTCTGGGCTATGTCATTCAGGATGACTGTTTCTAGCTCTATCCATTTACCTACAGATTTCATGGTTCTAAGCAGCTGGATTGTCTTCTAATGTGTAAAGGTATTTTCATTATCTGTTTATCCAGATGGAATATGTATATCACACCCCTCCTCTTAATGCTCAGGGATCTATTGAGAAGAGGGGGTGCAGAGACCGTAAGAACCAGAAGTGCTGGGTGGCTCACAGGGAACAGCATTTCCAGACACAACAAGACGGATGCACACATGGACTCCCAAGAGACTGAACAGCATGAACAAAGACCCGCCCAAGTTCCAGGCAGACAAAACCCCAGCGTGGACACTAGGAAACAGACACAAAGTCTCACCCCCAGCCAATAAGCTATTTGAAACTGATAACTACTTGGAGAGGGAAATCAGTTTTCTTCAATGGTGCAGCACTGGGTATAGCAACCTTATCTCAGGACAAGCCTCATGGTCAAGCATAGTCAGCGTAAACAAAATGAACTCTATGCTTATCTTATTTTCCTTTATTTTATGAGAGAGAAAGAATATGGAAATGAGTGGATAGGGAGGTTGAGAAAAATCTGGAAGGAGTTAGAGGACAGGAAAAAATATGATCAAAATATATTATTAGAGAATAAATTAAGACATTATTATCATTAATTTATTTGGATTTTTTAAAACAGGGTCTCTCTATTACCCTAGCTGCCCTGAAGCTCCCTATGTAGACCAGGATGGCTTTGAACTCTTGAACTTACTAAGATCCACCTGTCTCTGTCTCTCAAGTGCCAGGATTAAAGGCATGTACCACCATGTCCAACAAAGCATTATTTTTTTCAAATGGTTTTCTGACATAGCACTTAAGAGCTGTGTGTGATACACAGAGCGTGCTCATGCCTCCCTCCAGCCCTGTGAGCACTATACTTGGTCTCCGAGGTTCAGAGCTGAGCAGAGGCCTAAACTTTCTGAAGGACTAAGCAATCTGACTAGCCTTGATCCAAGTCCAGCCTCTCCTGGCTGTGCAACCTCCCACAGGAAATTTGGCCTCTGCATCATCATCTGTTGGTCTGTGAAGTGAGAACCAAATATCCTGCTCAGAGGACGTTTAGAAGAAATCAGCCTGACAATAATGCACAGATAGAATTTATTTAGCATAGTTCCCGGCTGAACTTAAGTTGTCATTATTATTGTGGCTATTACTGAGGTGAGACCTGACGGACCAGTTATGAGGCGGGCAGACTGGAGAGGGAAAGAGCATTCCGGGTAGAGGAAAGGATGCTCACAAAGGCTGGGAGGTGGGATGTCATCAGAAGAACACCATGTTCAGTGGGGTAAGGGATGGAGCGAGGAGAAGGGGGTCTGCAGACGATGCTGTGGAGCCAGGCAGGGCTGGGACATGGAGGGAAGGGCCAGCTGGCCAGGGAGGGGTCTCAACCAGGGAAGGAGATTGCAGAAAGTAGGTGGGGGTGCAGGTATAGAAGATAAGGTCTGAGGAGTAGACACCAAGAGGAGAAAACAGGGAGAGAGATCTAGGTAGCATCAGAGGTGGCAGTGCCAAGGAGGAAGACAGTGGGAAGGCTCCCCAGCCTTTGCATAGACAATGGAACCATCCTGAAAGTATCGGTCAGAAGGGAGATGCTGAGCTTAGCAGGTGTGGGGCACTGGGACTTGAGTTCTAGGTCTCAGGGGAGATGGCCTCAATAGAGACATCAACTGGAAACTTGGTTCTGAGGGCATCAGGAAGTCACAGAAAGATCTGGAGAAGGGGCCAGGGTCAGACAGAGTTAAGGTAAGACAGAGTGGAGCCTAGGGCTGGAAGCAAGAAACCTGAGCCAGGCAAGGAGTTCACAGGAAGGGCTCTGATGTCTCAGACACTCCTGGAGGAAGTCTTCCTGCACAGTCCTCACGGTTCCAGCTGGGAGTCCACCTTCCCCTAGGGGTGAGGAGTGGAGGGTCAGCCAGGCCTCTCCATACATCCTCTGATGAAGACAAGAAGGGTGGGGTGGATCACTTAGACACTATATCATGCCAGGGGACCCTGGCACCTCCCACAGGTCTGCCCTCCTTCCCCACCCAGGAAGCTAAGCCACCATTCCTGCTGGACTTGTCAGACCTGGGACAATGCAAGTGTGGATCTCAGTGTAGTGTCCCTTCCCAAGTGCGGCCGTCACCATGGGCCTCTCATCAGCTCTGCTGCTCTTCCTACTCCTCGGTAAGTTCCCTCTGCCACCCTCCTCCCCAGCAGCCTGTTCCCGGGCAGCCTCTCAACACTGTCCCCTCCCTCCTCTCCTCTGCAGCCTTCAGAGCAGGGTTCCTCGCCCTCCATCCAGCTTCTAGCCCTGGGCAACCCTCCACCTCCTCCTTGGACTCAGTGGGCTCTTCTCAGGGCTTTGTTTCAAAAGTCTCCAGCCAGCCCCCGAACTTTCCAGATCGGCCTCCAGGTTCAGAAGCTTCTGCTGGAATCCCTGATTCCAACTGGTTTCCTCAAGGGCCAAATTCAAGCCATGTTCCTGGGTCATTCTGGACCAATGTGTCTTCTGGGGAGCAATATCTGAGCCCTGATATCACCTTCTCTAAAATCGCTGATTCCCAAGTGGGTTTTGATGGTTCCCATTCTCAAGATCCTGCTAAAGACCCCAGGCCTTCCTTCTCTGTTCAAGTCCCAGACACCAAAGGACCGAGCAATGCCCCAGGTTCAAACCTACCCCAGGTTCACCACAACCTTGAGCTTCCTGTCCAGAACCCTGAATCCAAAATTTCCTCGGAGAGTTACCAGGCTGCAAGCTTCCCCCAGCAGGTGGGGGGACCCCTGGCTGTGCTAGTGGGATCTACCATCAAGCTCCCCCTGATTCCAGTCCCCAGCCCAAGGCCCCCTGCTCCTCTGGTGGTCTGGCGCCGGGGCTCCAAGGTATTGGCAGCTGGGGGCCTGGGGTCACAGGCTCCACTCATCAGTTTGGACCCCATGCATCAGGCCCGCCTGAGATTTGACCAGATTCGAGGGGGTCTGGAACTCACCTCTGCACGACTGGATGATGCCGGGGTGTACACAGTTGAAGTCATCAGGGGAGGAGTCTCCCAACAGATTCGGGAGTTCACGGTGGGTGTGTATGGTAAGTGGGCCTTGTGGTGCAGAGCACAAGCTGTGGAGCCGGCTCTCCTCACAGACATCTGGGCAAATCTGTGCTGGGTGAATATGCTTCCTGCCCAGAAAAGAGCCTAGGAGTGCAGATAGGAGCCAGACTGCACCTTGCCTGGGGAAGGAAGTCTGGGTATGGACTCCTGGGTCTGAGAGAGGAGATCTGAGGCCTGATCCCTTGGGTCTAAGGGAGCAGGTCTGGGGTCTGAGGGAATAAGATTGGGGTCTGGACCTCTGGGTCTGAAGGAGGGCTAGAGTCTGGACTCCTGGGACTGACAGAATAGGATCGGGGCTTGGACATCTAAGTCTGAGGTCTCGAGCTCTGAGGGAGGAGGCCTGGGGTCTGTATCCCTGGATCTGAGGGAGGAGGACTGGGAGCTCAGATTCCTGGTGTAGTGAAAAGAGCGAGGAAGGGCTGAGGAGGCAGAGACTTGGGGCACAGGGAGGGAGTTCTGGTGTGTGGAGTTTCCGACTCATCAGAACCTGTCCTGGGTCCCCAGAGCCCTTACCCCAGTTGTCGGTACAGCCCACGGCTCCAGAGACAGAGGAGGGGGCGGCCGAACTGAGCCTGCGCTGCGTGGGGTGGAATCCAGGTAGTGGGAAACTAAGTTGGAGCAGAAACGGACGTGCCCTGGACACCCCAGACCCTCAAGGCGCAGAGCCACCTCGCATCCGCGCAGAACGGGACCAGCTGCTCATCTCACGTCCGGTACGCAACGACCACGCCCGGTACACCTGCCATGTCCGCAGCCCCTTTGGCCACACGGAGGCTGCAGCTGACGTCAGTGTCTTCTGTGAGTGGGGGGGATGTCTCCAGGGAGGATTCCATCGTGAGTCCCCGGGGAGAAGTGGACCCAGTGTCTGTGACTCCTTTCAGTCCACCCACCCCTTGTCTCGCCCCTCCTCCCCTCCTAAGACGGCCCGGATGCTCCGGTAATCAGGGTCTCCTCTGACCGCAACGCTGATCCTGCGCTCTACGTTACCGCGGGCAGCAACGTCACCTTGCACTGCTCGGCCCCCTCGCGGCCGTCTGCAGACATTGCATGGAGTCTGGCGGACCCCACCGAGGCCGCAGTGCCTGCGGGGCCTCGCCTCCTGCTGCCGTCGGTGGGGCCCGGCCACGCCGGCGCTTACGCCTGCATCGCTGCGAACCCCCGCACTGGCCACCGCAGGCGTTCGGTGTTCAACCTCACTGTGGCGGGTAAGAGCTGTGGGTTCACCCAGCGGGGAGAGCGGAAGCACCTGGAGGTGTGGGTGTCAGGGGAGGGAGGAGACGGCGATGAGAAGGGCAGCACAGGGGGCGTGCCCTTCGGGGAGGGAGGGTCCAACCAGGAGGAGCTGGGACAGTTACTGGTGGGCGTGGCCACTGGAAAAGAAGCCGAGTTAGCAGGGAGGAATGCGAAATAGCTGCTGATGGGCGTGGCTTTTAGGAAGGTGAGGCGCTAGCAAGCAGTTTCTGAGAAAAACCTCAAGTAATAATGGCCACTAGTTAAAGAGCCAGGAAGGTCCAGGGACATTTGTGAGTGAGGTGGGATTACCTGGAGAGGAGTGGCATCATCAGCGGGAGCGGAAACGTACTGGTGAGGAGGGAGAGGGGCGTGTCCATCTGGGAGGAGGAGGGACAATGGGCGTGGCGATACTAGTACTGAGAGTAGAACACCCACCAATTGCTAATGGGCAGGACAAACAAGAGCATATGGACACCTATGCTTAGGACCGGGTCCAGTGCCGGTTGAAGGGATGAGGATGCCAAGGAGATTGGGAAGAGTCAGCGGGAGGAGAGAGTGGGTGGTCTTGGGAAAAAAGGATTCTCAATCGAATGAGCAGCGAAGTTAAATGGCAGAGTTGGATTTGAAAGAGAAGGCACTAGCCACCTAGACTAGTGAGCAGGATCAGCGAGTGTTGAAGTTACCTGCAAAGGCGGAGGGAGGGGGTCACAAAGGGCTCAGTGCACGCGGGAGGGTGGAGCTGTCTAGGGAAAGAGGCGGAGAGAAACCTGGAGAAGGAGTGGGGCATCGCGCATAGAGGAGGGACTGGAGAAAATGGAAGGACTGAGGCTGAATGGTCTCCTCCGTGGTAGATCTGCCCCCGGGGACCCCACAATGCTCAGTGGAAGGGGGTCCCGCGGACCGCAGCCTCCGCTTTCGCTGCTCCTGGCCCGGTGGAGTCCCTGCCGCCTCTCTGCAGTTCCAGGGTCTCCCCGAAGGCGTCCGTGCTGGGCCAGTGCCTTCTGCGCTCATGGTGGCTGTCCCCGCCCGCCCGGAGCTCAGCGGCGTCGCAGTCACCTGTCTGGCCCGCCACCTGGTGGCGACGCGCACCTGCACGATCATCCCGGGTGAGAGAGACTGGGCCTCCTTGCTATCTTTAAAGGAAGTGGGTGACTTTTTCTTTGGTCCTTTGGGTTTAAGGGAAGGACCAACGAGAACTTCTAAGTATTTTATGAAACCCAAACTTCACTTTCTTCGGGAGTTGGGTCTCTCCTTCCACTATGTGAGTCTCAGGGATAGAACTCAGGTAGTCAGGCCTGGTGGCAATCGCCTTTATCTGCTAAGTCATCTTTTGAGTCCTCAAACTTCACTTTTGTCCTGAACTTCAGGACTTGCCACCAAGCCTGATGACCTGGTTGGTCTCCAGAACCGTGGTAGTGAATGGCTAGAACCAGCTCCAGCAGTTGCGTCTGATCTCTGCATATTTTCATTGGTGGACACACACATACTATAAATAAATATGAAAGGGAAACTGTCACAAAATGAATGAATGAACACATGAATGGGCAGACTGTGACCTCATCTGGTCACAGCAGGAGGGGCATTTGTCACTTTTTGCTTTAACAAAGGACACAGAACTTGGTTCTTCACATCCTATAAGGTCTCATTTCCCTTAACGGGGCTTCTTCCACCAACAGAAGCCCCCCAGGAAGTGCTGCTCCAGCCAGTAGTACAGGAGACACAGCCCGGGGATGTGGTGGTGGCACTGGAGGTCACTGGCTGTCCCCCACCCTCAAGAGCATCCTGGGCCCGGGAGGGACGGCCCTTGGCTCTAGGAGGTGGGGGTCGACTGCAGCTTAGCCAGGAAGGCCGGAAGCTCCTCATCAGAAACTTCAGCCTGGATTGGGACCTGGGGAACTACTCTGTGCTGTGCAGCGGTGCACTGGGCGCTGGAGGCAACCAGATCACCCTAGCTGGTGAGCTTAGCCAAACCAAGATGCTCAGACACCTCAGACCCAGGTGTCCAGGCTCCAACCATCCTTTCCCAGATTCAGGGGTCCAGGACCCAGCCCTCTCCCTCAGATCCAGGGGTCCCAATCATAGCCCTTCTCCTGTAGATCCATCCTCACTGTCGCCCACCAGGTCCTCGGCATCTAGTATCTTCCCTTCCTAGGGCCCTCCATTTCCTCATGGAGGTTGCAGAGAGCCCGAGAAGCTGCAGTGCTCACCTGGGATGTGGAGCGAGGCACCCTCCTCACTGGCTTCCATGTCCAGGCATGGACAGAGGCCTCGGACCTGGATAGAGTCACCATGAGTAGGGACTGGGTCTCCCTGCTCATTCTGGGCCCTCAGGAACGGTCAGCCATAGTGCCACTCCCTTCTCGGAACCCTGGGACCTGGGCATTTCGCATCTTGCCCATCTTGGGGTCTCTGCCAGGGACCCCATCCCAAAGCCGGGTCTACCAAACAGGTAAGTTGGGCCAGGTACCTTTTTCTACCTTCCTCTTAGCACCTGACCAGCCATACTTAGGCTTTTACATCAGACCCTCCTCTTCTGTTAGTGGGGGCTCCTGTGACAGTGTCCTACTACCTGGTTGGCTTGAAACAACAAGCATCTATTCTCTCATGACTCTTTTTAGGTTTATTTGATTATTGGTTTATTTTTTATGTGTGGTTGTACATGTGTCGTGATGTGTGCATGTGAAGTTGGGAGAAAAACTTGAGGGAGTTGGTTCTGTCCTTTTGCCATGAGACCCAGAGTTTGAACTCAGATTTCTTGGGTCTTCCCAGGAAGGATGAGTTAGGGTCTTAGACAAACTAAGTGTATCCCTGTGTATCCCTGGGTCCTGTTTCCTTGTTTCCTTTGCTGTGTGTCTTCCAGGTTCTGCCCTGAGTCCAGGGGCAATCGCTGGCATCGTCCTTGGCTCTCTGCTGGGCTTGGCCCTGCTGGCTGGCCTTCTCCTCCTGTGTATCTGCTGCCTGAGGCATTTCCCAGGTGATGAGGGACCTGGGAAGAGGCAACTGGGGCCAACCGGGAGCTTCCCTAGACAAAAACTGGCATGGCAACCAGTGCATTAAAATGCCACCATCTAGGACTAGCTTCCCTTCCTACTGACCAGGGTGGCCTGTTGGAGCAATCAATCATGTGTTTCCTGTCATCCTCTCATAGGAAGGACTTCTATGAAAAGGCAGCTCCCCCTGACCTTGGCTCCTGTGCTTACCCCGCCAGAAAAAAAAGATGCAGAGTTTGACCCCAGTGCAGACCCCACGGCTACTGCCTGTCAAAAGCCAGCTGCGGAGCCCTCACACTGCCAAAGTCCAACAAGTGAGTGTTGTTTCCTCCTGCCACGGGGGTCAAGTAGCTTGTAAGAAGAGAATATTCTAATTCTATTTTTTTTTTTTTTTGGTTTTTACGAGACAGGGTTTCTCTGTATTGTTTCGGAGGCTATCGGTCCAGCCTGGCCCCGAACGCACAAAGATCCGCCTGCCTCTGCCTCCCGAGTGCTGGGATTAAAGGCGTGCGCCACCACCGCCCGGCTCTAATTCTATTTTTTAATGTCTTTCTCCTCCTTTTTCTTCATGTCTTACAAAATGTCCTAGTTACTATTGCTGTGATGAAACACCATAACCAAACACCACGGAGAGGGAAGGGTTTATTTGCTGTGCACTTTTACACCACAGTTCTTCATCAAAGGAGGTCAGGACAGGAACTCAAACAGCAGGAACCTGGAGGCAGACGCTGAGGCCATGGGTGGGTGCTGCTTACTGGCTTGCTCAGTCTGCTTTCATATGGAACCCAGGACCACCAGCC